TTTAGCAGGGTCCTTGGCAAATACCCCTTGGGGTTTAGGGTTAATTGATGAAGAGCCTGATAGTCTATTACATTGGGTGAAATTCTTGTTTGAAATACAGAAACTTTGAAAAAAAATTAAAACTAGGTATTACTCTGGGCACTATAACTGTAAGCCCATGCTACATTTGAAAATGGAAGGTCTTACTTTTCTCATTTTTTCAAGACTTTGTTAACAGATGTAGCTTTTTTGATTAATTAAACTCTTAAGAGAAATGGTAAGTTAGAAATAAAGGCCAAGAGTTCTTAGCATTAACTGGCTTTCAGCCAATGTCTACATTTTGGTTGCCTTCTTTTAGATCGTTTATTCCTTGGCTGTGCTTTTTTACAGGCCCAAAAGTTCAAGAAGACCATGCCAACCACTAAGCAGTGTGTGGTCATGGCCATAGAGGTGTTGTATCTATGGAGAGCACTGCCTAATTGTAATAAGGAATGCCTTCTCAGTATGTACAAAGGTAAGTCAGGAGTGGATGGCATTAATACCTCCGCTGTAATTCGTTCTGTGGCTTAGCTTGATTGGTACAAATCCTTTGTCAAGATTGACGTCATCTGAGCCATTTGTCAGGGAATCAGTTCCTTGTTAGCTATTAAAAGCCATGGAAATTTAGTGACAACCATTTTGCTGGATGTTTGGGGGATTGCTTTTCAATCCAGTCCAATTTCACACAGGATTCTCTGCAAGGACAATGCCTCTCCAAAATGGAGACCAGTAAAGGTCACAAATATGTAGTCTGTGTGAAACTGTGCAGACCAACAAAGCCTAAGCAAAGATACTTATCAGTTAGCTTGAATCTTGCTAGGGTTGAATCAGTGTATGCATTTGTACCATACTGCGATTAAAAAAAGTCAGTATGCTTGGCCTTTTCATTGGCTTCTGACATACACTGCTCAATCACAGACTCGGAATGAATTGGAGACAGTCAACTCTATTGATAGAGCTAATGTCAGTGCCGTGTTGAAAAGGTCACAGGTTCAGTTCAAATGCCACTCCAGTCACATGATGTTCTTTGCTATTAAGAATTGTTCTTGTTTGGGGTTTTGGCTGTTTATTTACATCAGCGTGTGAAGACAACAAGGACCAAAACTTGAAGGCGGTCACCTGTCTGCTGAAAGGCGAACTGGACAAACAGCTTGGCAACAGGGAAGAGGCAATTAAGGTATAGTATGAGTTCCTTTCACCCCTTCCCCTTAAATGTCTGAAAAGATAGCATTATGTTGTGTTTGAGTCTATATAAAGTTCCTGTAGGGTCCTCATGAATGTCTCCCACGTCCCCATAAGTCCCTGCAAGTCCTCGCAAGTTGTTGCAAGACCTCTCAAGTACCTCACAAGACCTTAATAGTACATTAAAATTCCAAACAAGTACATTACAGGTCCTTACAAGCCAATTCACATACTAATCAAATGGATTTGCTAAAGGACGTCTGATACTCTACTAGCTACAAAAGATTTTTTAGACAGTAACATTGGTATCCCACAAAATTCATTTCGTTTGGAATGATTTGACGATTTGTGGTTTTTGTAGGATTCAGGCTGCAAGGTTTTGACATGTGCAGACCTTGAAATCCCACCTTTACTCAAGAATACTCTGCTGACTTTGACTTTCCTTTGTTGCATTTGGTGGATTCAGGATGATTCATGGCTAATTATGTGTGTTTTTTTTGCGTTGGGGAGATGTTAATTATATATAGGTTTATAACAGGAATACATC